TTTTTGATTGGATGGGATCTCTTGGATTCCTTTATAGCCTCTGGAGGCCTCGTCATGCTTCCCGAAAGCCGTCCCAACTATAACTATTTTATGCACGACATTAGCTATAGTCATTATCATAGTTATAGTATTACAACATTTAAAAGCTATTCTAGATACAGTTTCAGAAACAGAAACGTAATAAAACGGAGAGAGTACAGCTGAAAAGCCAACAAATGCAACACTTATGTAGCTATCAAACAATTTGGCGAAGTTTCATTCAACAGAGAAGAATGTACCACATACCATTAAAATTAATTTTATCGCGTCAACATCTTCATAACAAAGCAGGTTAAGTATAAATGAACTGTATAAAATGAAGACTTACCTAAGTTACAACTATGCTTAAATTCTGAACGATCAAGCTCTTTTTCCTGTGCCAAACGGCGACCAAATTCCATACTAGGTAGCAATTGTTTAGTCTGTAAAAAAAACCAACATGAAATACACGTGAATCAATACTAACGAAAAGTTTAATATTTTGCTTATAAGTATGTGACTACTTATAAATAGGAAAAACCATATTGGTGGAAATATTTTGCCAAATGGTTTGTTACAAATATGATTATCGACATTAGTCATTTTAAGAGTATAAATTACTAAATAGATGGGCAACAAGAAAAGAACTGTCAAAATTTTTTAATATCATCAAGAGAGAGAGAAGGGAATCAGAGTACATAAACAGAAAGTCTGAACATTATTCTGTAATCAAAAGTTTATGTTCTTTTACTTAAAGATATCGTATGATAACTATGGACCAGTTAAACAAAGAGAAACCTTTGATTTAATCTGTTAAACATGAAGATGAACTAGGTAGAGATTTTCAACTGACAAATTCGCTTTTCATAACAATTTGCGCTAATATATCAATAAACGCACATCACTGAAATAGTGGATAATTAGAATAACATACAAACCATATGTTTCAAAACAGTGAGAAATACAGATATAATAATTCTCATACGATAATTGTCGATACAAAATAGCTCTGACTAATCAAACCGTAAAACTAGATGGAATTAAAACTGATGTGAGGGAATACACTATCTAATGTTTTTTTTTTTCCCGAACACACATAGCAGCATTACTCGAAAGTAGAAAGAACTATTCTAGGGCCTGACAACTTTAAAAATTTCAATGTTTAGCTACGTTACCACTCCTTATCAATACCTAAGTATGAAAGAAGTAAACGCCGAGTGTTATTACATAAATCAATAAGAAAAAAACAGATCCCATTTACGATATACCCGTTCAAATTGCCTTATTTCCCGAATGTCATATAGAACAGAATTCAGTTAAAGTTTACAAGATCTAAGTGTATGCTAGTATGAAATAATTTAGTTAAGAGAACAATAATTCGTGAATAAAAATGGACCATTATGATTCGTTTTAAAGTAAATCACACATGGCTTCAATTATTGAAATCTAGCAGCCATTAAACATATTATCATTCCATCATATTTTATTGTAGATGTCATACATTCCAATAAAGAAACTCAATTAAATATTATATAAATCCAAAACAAAATAATAAAAATGTATGTAATGAACTGTGGCGGCTATACTATTGTCACAGATATATTCACGAATCTAGAAGTTAATCGATCACGCACAACACCGAAAGTCCTAGGTTCATGTCTCGCATTCAGGATCATGGATATTCAATATTAAAGAATCCCATCCGAAGTACTTTCAAATTTTCAATAGTGGTCTAACTTAGATCAACTTGTGAATTTAACTGTGAAAATTGAATAAATAAATAAATTTGGTTAATTATTACCAACCTGTTGTAAATTAGAATATTGTTGAAGGCTTTCATCATAAACACGAATTAATTTCCCAGTAGAAAAGCGAAATAATCGAATCTAAAAATATTAAATTATATTAACAAATGGGATGATTATTAAAATACAACAATTCATTTGAAAGAAGCATATAAATGACAAATTTCCCTACATAAATAAACAAATAAATAAGAATAGTTATCAAATATTATTGAAGATTCATTAATTGATTGTAGGATTTTCTTTGTTTATTCAAAATTGGAAAAAGACATATTCTCATTTATTAATCACAAGAAAGAAATAGAAGTTTGAATGAAGATTTTTACATAGATTGTTTTATTATAATGTGGTGTGAGCTACTTATATTCACATAAGTAGTATATAACGATAGTTAAGAAGAGAATGTATTTCAGTACAAGATCGAGAAGGAAAGAACGGAAACAAAAAGCAATTGGTATGAAAATGCAGGAACAATCCGAGACAATGGATTCATCTTTTGAAAATTGAGTATTTACTGTATAGTTCTCTGATTTTAATAATATTCTGTAATTTTGTGTCCAATTACATTTAAATGCCCCCACTCATGTTCTTGTTTTGTTTTCGGAGTTAGTGATGAATATCTTGTCTAGAATGACGATGAACTCAAAATTTGAGAAAACCTCAGCTATTTTAAATTAATTCAAAATAAAACAATTGTTAGCGGAATATAGATTGGATTGAAGCATGTTCCGTGAAGAATTGTGTTGGAATATGCAAATTGGCTATTTCTTAACCAATCAGAGCTAGTGGATATTTGCAGAAGACTCTAGAACCTTCCCATGTAAAGACTATAAATATACTAACGTCTTTTTTATTGTGATCCCTACGTCCATCTAATCATTTTATTTGGAATATAATTACGTTCCTGTTTAACCGTGTTCTGATTTGGGGACTTGTTGGGTGAAATAGTGTTTAAGAATACTAAGCCATAAGAGTAGTTGGATCGTAATAAGAGAAATTATAACAACAGTAATTATTTTGAATTTGAAAGATAGAAACCATCGAGAAATGTAGTGATTATGTATTCAACTTGAAAAAAAACCCATAAATTATCTTTTCTAAAATGATACAGAAAATATCAGTTATAGTGTAATGTGTGCTACTTATACAGCCAGACATAAGCAGTATGTATCCAGAATCGGAAGTCGGATTATTACTATCGGAAGAGCAATATAAGGAGAAGACAAGGAAAATAAAGAGCTGTTGGAGCGACAACAGGAATAGAAGAATGATGGAGTTTGTAAGAGACAATTCCATGAAGCAGTACAGATGGTGTTTCAACTTTCTTTTTAATTTTACAAATGCACTGTGTGATTTTGTATGACACAATAGACTAGTTTTCCCTACCAAGTCTTCGTTCATTGAGATACTTCGCACATTAATGCTTTTCACAACATATAGATCAAATATCTCCAAATTATATACTATGTCATAAAAGGATGCAATGAACTGAAAATTAGAGGATAAGTATGTACAAAATTCATTTTTTACAGTTGTAGTTTGATTGGATTATTTACCAAAAGAACTTAGACATTCGTGTTCCCAGTTTAGGAAACAGGCAATATGTTCTCAAAGAGTAAGGAGGACAAGGAGTATGATACAATAAACCAATGACGAAAGATTATCACAATAGTACGAGTGCACTAATGAATCGAAACAAGAGTATAAACGGATTAGATCAAAGGATTGGTCTAAACAAACAAATCTCACTCATTACACAGGAAAAAAAGGAAATGTTAGATAATTCAAACTTTACATAAACATTCGTAAAGGTGTTAACGAGCAGTTTGACAGAAATTGGACGGCCAGTATATATGTAGGACATTAAACTTAAGAAATATACTCTAAATAGTCTGAGACTGAAATTTCAAAAATTCCAATTTCCCATCAGGAAAACGTCTCTGAATCTCCTTTTTGATAATTTAGATTTCGGTCATTTTCCTCAAACCCATTTGCTGTGAGAAACATCGGAATTAATTAAATTTCAACCTTTGAGGTTATTTAGTGCATAATTTTTACGTTTACGTCAGACTACTAAATATTATTAAGTAGTAGTTCATAACAAACAAAAAACAAAGGAAAACGAAGTTGAGAAATGAAAATGACACTATGAACACTTACTTTTCTATCTGCTCCAAGAACTGCTAAAATCTCACCAGATGGAGAGAACACAACACTGAATGCAAAGGTTTTTTCAGCTATTAAGCAATAAAAATCTGTATCTGATTTATATTCCCATTTAAGTGTCTGTGGGAAACTGTAATTATTCTTTGGACCAGACCAACATTCTAGCATACCGTCGGAATCAGCGCTTAGTGCACATCCATATACAGGATTAAACTGTGAAATGAATAAAAGATGGGAAACATGTCAGAAGGTAGCAAAACGAGTTCATGGAAAATCTGAAAGCATTCAAAGTGACCAACCTCCCAAAAATTAACACCAAATTGGAACTTATTACTATGGGTCAGGCTTGTTAGAATGGAACTAATATAACTTAATAATCCTAGGGAACATGTCCACATTTGACCACCTCAATCAATGAACATGAAACATTTTCTAACCCATCACTTCGTATTAGTTATCTGAAGTTCAAATCTTCAGTAGGAAATTCGTTCAAGACAAGCCTAGCAACCACTAAGTGTACATATATTTAAAATATACTTAAATGTAAGATAAGAATTTGCATTGAAATAATAAGAGGAAAGTATATTTCATAGCAAACAGAAAGGAGAACAGAAGCAATTCAAAATTAAGACAGTTTCAACAAACCAAACCATATTACGAGAAAGAATAAAAAGCCAGCTAATTAAAAATGATTCTTGCTTGTTTATTATCAATCAGTATAATTTGTTAACTATGGCACAGGTCTATACTATTCATCAGAGAAGATACATTTGATTCTTTTAAACAATTTCCGATGAGTCTATATATATATATATCCAAATGTTATCATCAAAAATGGAGTTAGAACATAAAATCTATACTAAACATCTAAATAAGCTTTTACTTATCAATAGAAATCATCAGATTGCATCACGAAGCAAGCCCTAACTCGGGACCCCGAAGAGAACAGGAAAGGAGGAAGACTAAGAAACACATTGCATTGGGAATCGGAAGCAGACATTAAAAAATGAATAGCAATGGGAAAGGATTGCCCAGGATAGTTGGTTGAAGAATCCAGGTCGGCGGCTTTTGCTCCTCCACGAGGGTTAATGGGCGTAAGTAAGCAAGGAATCTCAATTGACATAGCCACAAAGACATTAAAACTTGAGTCAACAATATTCCATTTTAAGTAAATAATGGGTGTTTGAAGAAAACCTAATTTTTATTGTCTCAATGATTCTGAACTAGTAAAACTTCAAATCCTACGGTCACATTCATGATGACTCACGTAACTGAGTAATTACAAGTATATTCGCTTAGTACGCTGTAATTCACATAAATCATATGATTTCTACTCAAAACAAGATAAATGTAACGAATTAAACCTAAAACGTAGTCTAAGTATCGATTGTGTACACTATTCCTAACACCAGAATCTCAAGAGATGAAAACAAGGTATTTCAAAAGTGCTTATAATAGATTATAACTATTATCAGTCTAGTTGACATTAATTAGATATGAACTATGTGTAACCAGCACAAAACTGAAGTATAAAAAACTCACCGCTAAACAAACTATAGGCGCTTCATGTAATTTTTCGATTGTATGTAATAATTCACCTTTGCTACGTGCATCGAATATTCGAATTTTAGAACTATCCTGATCGGATCTACAAATCGGTTTTAAAAAACAGTTTTTTTCTTAAATGGTTAGAACTCCATAACTCTGTAAGTAAACAATATTTCTCAAATGCACCGTTATAATATATACATAATTAAAATACAATATTTCCACAGGTTGTTTCCTAGTTAGTAATTAATCTCTTATTTAAATCTACAAACTAAATTTAACTAACAAACATTTGGATAGGATTAAACTCACAATTGATGCTATGCAGAAGTTAATGTGTATTATGTTTATAGAAATACTTAATAATTAAATATTAGATAAACAAAATGATTGCTGAAAATTGAAGTATTTAGAGTAAGATTTAAGCGAGCAACTTAAAATGATTGAGAGATGAACGCCTAAGTAAGTAAGTAAGCGATAATTTCCATATGATGGGATAATGAATAAGGATGAAAGGAAATCTATATTGGCTGTAGCAATCCAATTACTTTGCCTATTCATGCTTTGGTAACCTTATATTTGATTCCAGTTAAGTCGTATAATGGTGGTTAACGAAATATACATGCCAGCTACCCTCATATATAATTATCGACTTGATTCGCGTTACAGAAATAACAGAATGAAATAAGTCAAATACGAGAATGAATTTTGAATGCGTACATTTCACACACTCATGAATCTGAACAGACAATCAGAGGAACGAAGTGGCGCACAGCGGAGAAAGCGAGTGAGTCAACTCGATTTGATTATACATGACCTAATAATTATATTCAGACCAAAAATAAGTTACAGACACGTAATGAATAGGGTTAGCAATTAACACACATACACTCAAATGAAAACAGTCAGGCTTAATAAGTGAAGAATTAACAAGACTAAAATGTAACTTGAGAAGATTGAATATACTGGTCTGTTCAGAAGCTAGAATAACCTATGTGAGCTTGACATAGTGTTATGCTTTGTTATTCGCTTGAATGCTATTACTGATGCGTCTTACTCAACGAACGAAGGATCAGTGACTCGATAGCTATTCTGGTTCGTTGTCCCCCAACTCTGCTAACTCGATCAAGAAGTCTGGGTAAGGTGTAGAAGTGTATTCTGCAGACACACAGCAGCTAACAAGTCAAGTCAAACACACAACTCACGCGTATTTATACAATATTTACAATCGATATTGTCATAGAAAAATTTTAAACACATTTTATCGATAGTTGACCTATTTGCACATCTAATTGATAGGTTCATAAACTGACTGCTATACAAACATTTAATAAGTTGATCGATAAGATAAAATTTAAAAATATGAGTTTGGGGATCTATCATCCCCAACATATAGTACCAGCCACTGCAATTTTTACAACTACCGTTCACATTTCACCTGAATTTTGATGCATAACAGTGGTACTTAACTATAAGGTAAATAAAATTAATGTTGCAGTTTTATAAACAGCTGGTTGATGTTATGTCTAGTTTACCAAATGTTTAATTATACTAACTGAACAATATTTATGATCCTAAAAAACATCTTTAACTGTTGATGTTAGTTTAGAAAATGTTGAACAATTGTTTTACATAATTAGGGAACTTTACCACAGCACCTTACACGAGCTCAAAACAGACCATCTTGTCTTTGTAAATGACGACCCGGTGATGTGTATTCACGGCTCCGTAAAAAAGAATATAATTAAGAACATCCCGTTTCGCGCGTGAACGCCCAGCCTCTAGATAACTGAGACGGGATTCGATGGTCTAACTTCAATCAGTCCATGATATTGCGCGACCATTTTCTAATATACAGTCCAAATATACTGGTTTCAGAAAAAACCAATGTTTAATAAATAGTAGATTCGACAAATAAATAAATAAACTAACAAATAGCATACATTGCAACTGCAGTGACCTCATCCTTTGGAGTATAAATGAAACAACACCCACTAGGTGAAAAATCTAATTTCATCATACTGATCATATCTATAATTAAATGAAAGCAAGAGAAAAAACATGTTTATAAATAAATACTAGAGACACTTATAATATATCGTTTCGGTTAAAGGTACACTAGTGAACAGAGAGTTAACGTCAAGCGAGAACATATGTTTTTCGAAAGTATTAACGTCCTTAATACGATCAATATATTGAAAAGTATCATGAATATAATATTTAGATACTTGCCTTCTAACTGGTTCCAATTTTTCAGCTAACCATCGGGCGTACCTAAGGCCTAACCATTGTGATGTCCCAAGTTGTCATATCATATCACCACGATGACATGAAATGAACATGATGACTAGCACATGAATCGGAATAATGCGATATCAATGATCATGAGAAAGATTAGACGTTGAGAATACAGTTCGAAAATAATCTCAAAACATTCCATGAGATTATAGATGTTTAGCTAAAACTATATATATCAAAGTTTATTACTAATTCCGGTGATTATTTTATGGTGATCAAGATTACTGCAATTCATTTACGTGTATCCGTGATGAAAAGTTCCAAAGCACGTAGTTCATATGCTCTTTTTTAACCGAATGTTCATAGAACGTACAAAAGTGTATTACTTAAACGCTATCTATAAAAAAGATACTGCAAATTAAACGGATAGAGAATACATAAGAAATGAACAAAATTTAAGTCTGTCAAAACAATGAAAGGACAACTGATCTGAATCTTTTGATAACTCACCGAAATTAATAACATCAAAAACCTTGGCAGTTTTATCATCACCAACAGTACAGGCTAATTCACCATCACAGCTAACTGACAAGCCAAGAATAGCTCCTGCATTTGACGGTTAAATGAAAGTCAAATGAATGAATTTTATTTAGAGTGGAAATATTTAAAAAGAATACACATAACACATTATCATTATAATTCATGGTTAGAATTCCAGGAAATAAATTCAAGTAATTAGTTGATTTAAAAAATGAACTGATAAGAATACTTGGTTTTTTATGCACTATGGAGAAATGAAACTTTTGAATATCTGGTTAAGTTAAGATTGATTCAGAAGTAGAATGGTAATTAGATGTTATAATTAACAAAACAGCTATCTACTATTCTTCTGTTCTAAATAATTTCTAACTCTATATGAATCCATAGTAAGGGCAATTTAAATCTACACTAACCTCTACAAACGTCTATCAACGGACACGACGTTTAGTCATCGATTTACAAACAAAATTTTATTCTTTTGATTATGACATTCACAGTCACCAAAACTATCATTAACTTTCTGCGTGAAGATATAATATACAATTTAGTGTATAAGTGAACTATCAGCTTTGATCAAGTTTGACCAACTTACTCAGAAAGTAGATAAGATAGAAAATATACTCATTAGAATCTATTGTTTTCGATGAGAACAGCTTGTCGCAAAATCCAGAACACCTCAGTCCAATATCAGAACACCTAAAAGGCTTCGAATGATAAACAACCCAATACTGACGTGAAATATTTGTCTGGCGTTCATTTACATCTAAAAGTTTTCAAACGACACCTTCAAAGCTTATACACCAATAGGTTACGATCTGAAACGGGCAGTTATTGATATGAAGACAATCCTTCGGAAATAGAAATCTGACTGTTAACAAATAATCAGAAAAAGACGTAATTTACACACTTTTGAAAATCTTTAGGCATTGTTTTATGCTGATAAGATTGTCACAATAGTTTAGCTCAAATACAAAGACCACTCTCAATCAAAAGTACAAAAGATTTTCCTGCATCAGCTATGGAAATTGACATTATTGTAAACTGTCTTGATATTGGATGTGTGAAGTCAGTCGGCAAAAGCCTAAGACCTAAATGTATTGATAATCGGTAAATGTCGTCTGTGTGTAAATAAATTCCAACCCAGAAAATCCACTATAGAAGTCAGATATATCTTCACTAAGCTAGCCAATGGATAACCTATACAACTAAGATGGGAGAGAGTTATACAGCAAACACATAATAACGAAATGATGGGATGCTTTAAGGTAGCAAATATACTAATCGAAACAGGATGATGAAATCAAGATGGTAAAGAGAAAAAGAAAGGTCTGTTAGGGTTTCTTACCTAAATGTGCTCGGTAGTGTTTGATAAACTCTAGTCCAACACCATCAGCTTTTCGCCAAAATTTAAGATGACCATCATTGCTACACGTCATCAAATAGTGAGTTCTGTAATTTAAGGATTCAATTTAAAAATCATAAGTAAAATAAGCAACACTAGAAAACGTTCATTTAAGTGCGAGGACTTGAACATGATTACTGGGAAATAGAGGCTATTGAAGAAATAAAAACGATTTTTCAAAATATTTGCTAGCTAAATTTTCTTTCTTCACTAGCACAATAGACCAGTTTAGTTATAATTAGAAGCTAACTAAAGACATTCATAAGAAACAACCCATCAAATAGCCGACATTTCACTGGTAGCAGGAAATGGTCTTAAGTTTGGCCCCTTTTGTAGTCGTGAGTTGGTATTCCTGAATAATCATAGACTATGGTGAAAAGGTCGTTTGGTGCAAGCCAATTATTCGCATGTCTATAACCTACGCCAGACTGTAGAAGGAACTCTTCAGACTGACCTTGGGTTCATATTATTCGTAATCTGGTAGTGAATAAACTGAATAAGTTTCATCGGGGATATAAAAATTAGTACTGATTATCTTCAACATTATTAGAATTGAAAATCTACTTACTTTGAGTAGGCAACATGTGTTATCACATTTCTATGCATATAACTTATTTCATAGTATTGAGCTACTGGGATATTACGTAGGTAAATTGCTTCATCTTTAAGGACTGGAATGCAAAAAGAGTGGTAAAAGTACAATAAGTAAAGTACAATACAAACGCTCAACAAATAAAGAATAAACGATCTTTAAAACACGTTGCAATTTCAAACAGAATGACTAGATAAACGTTTCACGAGACCGTCTCTGTTAAGCGTCCCACAATGAGTAACAGCATAGAGACAGGGATTAAAAAAATGGCAAGACCTCAAGGTAAAGTGACATATATTAGAACTGTTGAGTGCACGAAAAACAATTTGTGGGTTCACGGAACAATTATCGTTGACTTTGAGTCGTATCAATAGATTCAGTCAGTGGTCTTGAGTGCTGTTAGAGGTATGAGGGCGGTTATCACTTCCCGGTTGCCCACACCGTGGAAGGGTTCTTCTGGAGGTACCTGAAAAGAAAATCGGATTAGAAGTGGTCTTAGTGACCTGGGAGCGTGACCGCAGTGCCCAAGGGACAACTGCTTGAAGTCGGTCATACACGACCTTTTTATGGGCAATTTTTGTGTTAGCTCCGTACTTGTTGAGACCTTACCGCCGGAGACGGATATCCGTGGGATAAGGCGAGGTGTGCATTTTTAGGGTCGACCTCTTCTAACCCCAACCCTCCTTGTGGGAAGGCAGCATCGCTTTCGTGCTGGTTGTCTGAAGGAAACACCTTACTGCTGTCACACATCTGTACAGTCAGCAGTACGACTTCGCCTTTGGACCTTGAGTTTGTTGCTTTTAGTCTTACCGCTCTTCAACCGACCTGTTTGACATGGTAGGACCTTGAGGAACGGTTGTTCCAGTCAGCATAGCTCGGTTGTTTCATCACGATAGGCAAGCCCGACCACCACGTCAAGGTAGCAACAATGGTCGGGATCAATAGATTATAAATCTGATAACTCGAATACAACATCTGCCTACAAAACAGTACATGATTATTTATTTATTTATTTGAACACATAAATATTGGTACAAGAGAGCGCCAATATATATGCGCCACAAAACAATGAGGATGGGAAGAGTAAAGGAAAGTAGGCAAGGAGCGTGAAAAAAAAGAGAATAATAACGAAGAGGTTGGTGTAAGGTAGTGTAGTGATAATAATAGTAATAATGAGGGAACGGAAAGGTACAATCAGAAGAAATCTTTCAGTTAAGGAAGAAGCAACCACTTTTTATGAAGAAAGTAAAAGAAGGTTACAGCAGGATTGCCACTGGCTTTTATTCTGAGCCATATCTGATAACGTCTCTAGCCACTGTGTAGAACCAACCCAACCAGGGAGTCGTGAAGGACGGACAGAAGCCAGTCCTTTGCAGCTTTCTTTCATGCCACGACACCATGTCATGCACTGACCACCTCTCCGCTTCTTCCAACCAGTCTCAGAGTCGGCAAATAATGCACGACGTGGAATTCTCTGGGACAACATTCGGAGAACATGTCCGAGCCACCGAACTCGATGTTTCAAGATGGTGAAATCGATTGCATTATCATCTCTGTGCCCGATAACACGATGCCGAACCTCTGCATTACTGACATGGTGTTGCCACTGGATGTCATCAATCCTTCAGAGACAGCGATGGTCAAACACAGAGTCGTCTAATATTCTCAACTCGGATAGGCCAGGTTTCACAAGCATAGAGCAAAACTGATCTCACCGACGCGTTGTAGATCCGACCTTTTACAGCCAGACTAACATCACGAAGGTGCCAAAGATGGCCCAGATTGGCATAAGCCGCTCTGGCTTTCACTATACGTGCATTGATCTCATCACTCACAGCCCCACCAGCACTCATACAGTTACCCAGATACACGAACTTCTCGACCACTTCTATCTGCTCACCATCCAGAGTGAGTTTATTTATTTAAACACATAGATATTGGTACAAGAGGGTACCAGATACATATGCGCCATACAAATCTCATTTGATTTTTGTGAGGGCTATGATACTGCTCGGGTGCCCAAACTGAAGCAGGTATCCAGAGTCAGTACAGGATTAGAATCCTGCCAGTCTTGTAGAAGTACTTTGCACTTCGAATGTGTAAAGCACATACCGTACCTACGGACATTGATTGCCAATTGGTTAATTGCGGATCGCATGCCTTGGGCATTGTCGCACAGTAAGACAATATCATCCGCATAATCAAGGTCGAGAAGTCTTTCTCCAGGCAACAGATCCACACCACCATTACTTACATTCATCAGAGCTGTTTCTAGAATGTCATCGATGGCAAAGTTGAAGAGGAATGGTGAGATTGGGCAACCCTGCCTAACCCCACTGCTCGAATGGAACAATAGAGAGAGGTGGTTGTATGCCCTCACTCTGCCTGAGGTGTTTTTATATAGGGCTTTTAGGATGTTAATAAACTTCTCAGACACACCCTTCTTCAATAGACAATCCCAGAGAACAGTCCTGTCCAACGAATCGAAGGCAGCCATGATGTCAAGAAACACTACGATTGTTGGCCTTTGATAAGTATGGCGATGTTTTAACATTTGGCGGAGGGTGAAGATATGATCAATACATCCTCGACCAGAACGAAACCCAGCCTGCTCCTCGCGAGTCAATCTTTCTCGGGTTTTGAACAACCTACGAAGTATGACGGAAGCCGATAGCTTGGACGCAATCGGAAGTAGACTTATCCCCCGATAGTTGTTACAGGAACGACGTGAACCCTTTTTAAAGATAGGGATAACTATCGACTCATTCCATGACGTTGGAACACTCTCTAGTTCCCAGACCTTTGTAAACAACACAGTCAGTTCCTTAACCAGAAAGTCACCACCATCTTTAAAAAGAGCCGGTGGTAAGTCATCTGGGCCCGGTGACTTGTAGAGTTTCGAGAGTTGGAGTTCCTTGCGGACTTCCTCCTCGTTTGGTGGATCAGTCGTCACCGGCCATGGAGGGCAGAACAGTCTGACCGATGTTGCCGGAGCAGCAGGCCAGTTGAACTGCCCTTCGAAATATTCTGCCCATCGTCCAAGACGTCGATGGATGTTAGTGATTGGCATCCCGTCACCCTCACAGATTGTTTCACTCACACCAGACTTCCTGCTGCCAGTGGCTCGGATGAGTTGAAAGAGCTTCTGGTAGTTACCAGATGCAGCTGCTGCTTCCAGCTCATTAGCACGCTTCGACCACCAGGCTTCTCAGTCCTTACGCAAGCTTTGCCCAATTTCCTTACGTAACATCCTTCGTTTATGGTCAAACTCACGGTCACCCGGAGTAGACCGACGGGCTTCAATAAGTTGTAAGGAACCAGAAGAAACCCAGTGCTTATAAGCGGGACGTTTCGCAAACCCACAACTGACTGTTCCCGACATTTTCATGGCGTCATGCAATTGCAACCAATGCTCATCTATACCTTTCGGTGGAGTGGTAGCTAGCCTAGACGCTAGCTCGGTTCGATACTTATTTGCAACAGAAGTTGCAACCAGCTTGCTAATATCAATCCCTTGATGGCGGTCACTTCGTTGTCCACTGAAAAGTAAGGCAAGATTAGCGCAGACCAAGGCATGGTCAGAGTCCAGATAGGTACTCCAAAAGGAGTGGCAGTCTTTTACACAACCACGCCAGCGGTAGCTGATCGCGATGTGATCAATCTGAGTCCAGGCTTGGGATGCAGAGGGAGGACGCCAGGTGGCACATCGGCGATGACTGTGCCGAAAGTTAGTGCTAGCCAGAAACAGGTTGTGGTCTGTGCAAAGTTGCAGTAGACGGTCCCCGTTATCTGACCTGCGACCAACGAAACCCCATCGGCCACCTAAACGACTCTCTTCTGTGCCTAGACGCCCGACCTGAGCATTCAAGTCTCCGGCTAGTACTACAATATCTGTCGAACGCACTTTCTGGAGAAGAACAGATAACTGGTGGTAAAACTCATCCTTGATTGCATCCGGGCTGCAATCTGTCGGGGAATAGGCAGAGATGACGAAAAGACATCGATTCTCACGCCGATTTCTTCCCACTTTGATGGAACTTTCTAATCTAATAGCACATAACCGACTGTTAATGGGTATCCAATCGATTAGTGCTGCCTCAGCTCTAGCGCTTAGTGCGACACCAACGCCAGCAAGACCAGACGAAGATGCCACAGGGTCCCTGGATAAACGCACGTAAAACAAGCTTTTCGAAGCGACAGATGGAGAGCAAATTTGTAGTACTTCACCAGAGTCTTGAATACGGGTCTCGGATAGACAGCAGACATCGATATTAAAACTTTACAAAGACATAGCCAGCCCTATCTGTTGTCCAACCTGCATAAGTGTGCGAACGTTGAAGGCAGCCAGTTTGAGTGGTGCACGTGGTTTCAGGAAAACTACTTCAGTACTCATATTCAGTGGTAACCTACAATTTTCAACCGGGCAGTGACTCGAGAACGTTTAGATACAGTCGAATTTCCGCCAAAGACGAGCCGCTGTATAAGTATAAAAGAGGGTGTATAATGTGGTAATAATAATAATAATAATAATAATAATAATAATAATAATAATAATAATAATAATAATAATAATAATAATAATAATAATAATAATAATAATAATAATAGTAATAATAATAATAGTAATAATAATCATTTGGTTGTTATTCGAAGCGAGAAGAGTAGTTTCCATAGATATAGAGAGTTCATCATTTGCGTGTGGGCTGCGATACTGCCCGGGTGCCCAGGCCGAAGCAGGTGGTTATCTTAGGGGACCACACCCCGAGCCTTTGACCTAAATGTTTAACCCACAAGGCAGTGGAGCATCGTAAGGAGATGCAGTCCCATGGTAGCCGGTGACCAACGATTGGTTCATACGCCACTTGTTCCCGCAGGATACTGGAGCCCATGTGCACCATTGGTTTGGGATCCGGTCAAAGCGCCGGACATTCGCTTTCCGTCCTCCCATTTTCGTAAACAACACCCTCGCCACGAGAAGGCAATGAGTAGGACTTCCCTGTCAGAAGCTGTATACGCGTGGACGTGTGAGAGTATTTCGAGAGGAAGAGCGGACTATCCCCACTCTCGGCCGTACCAGGGCATTTGGGGGCACATGATGAGCATCAACAGTAGCAGACCTCATGAACTAGTATCATTCTTTGTGACAAACCTCAGCTGTTTACAAACTAATCTTCACTTTAGTTGGTTGTGTGGCGTGTTTTGTTCACGATTAAGGCATTACATTAAATACGGTGTGGTGGCTGGAGGGACAATTATTTAATACCTTGAAGAGAATTTGTAATCTATCAAATTAAAGGAAACGTCAAAACAATAATATTTGAGGTTCATTAGGGATAAAATAACAATTTAGTGAAAAGTGCAACGGCCTACCTTTACGTTTCTTTTTAGGAACTGGTACAGAATCACCGTTTTCACTAACATCTTCCTGAGACTGCATCATTTCAGATGGTAAAGGACCAACTGTATCGTCTCTAAGTTCGTTTTGATCATTATAATCGACCTCGTTGGCATTTTCGGTCGGCAAAGGACCGATAGTTTCATCGTTATCAGACATGATCTACGAACAAATCAAATGTCTCGGGATGCTATAACATGAAAGACAAGCAAGTTATCCAAGAAAAGAAACTTTGCAACGTGCAACACATCATCAATATGAAGTTGGGAGTAAATCAGTTAAATGCGCTTGACAATAGATTTACAAGAAATAAAGTAAGGAAAATATTTGTGAAAACGCGCTGAGAAGTGGATATATATAGGACACTAGACTCTATTATTTGAATAGGATGCAGTAGCGACTTAACTTAATGATCTTAATGTATTTCAAGCGGTAAAACCTAATATCCAAACACCTAAAGATTAATAGTAAGTTACTAAAGTATACTTTAATTAACACAGTTCAAACGACTTCGTAACGTTTCCCAGTAACCTTTTCACTGTGTTGTCCGTGAGAATATAATAAAACTTTCAAAGGTCCTCATTACTTTGAATCCACGTAGTTTCGTAAATTTGATGTGCGAATATGATAGATTATAGCAAATTTCTGGAAACCTAGTACAATCACTTTCCAGATTGACTGGGTTAACTAACCTTGAGGTGACGTTTAGATTTCTTTCACCCGCTCTCAAATTAGCAATATCTGTGTCAATAGATTCAAATGGTTCAAATGGTTGTTGATGGAATAGAAGAAGCTTTCGCTTAACAAGCTTCCGTGTCTAGTAGCAGTGAATCACCAAATCCTTCAGGCAGGAACCTAGGTATGTTAACAATAAAAGAGGAAGGGAAATTGATAAATCATAGTGCGATACTATCCTTAGTCCTTAAGAATAGATCAAGTTGTCTCTTAAAGGACTCTTGGGAAGTCGCTTGGACTAGCTCAGCTGGCAGCGAATTCCAGCATTTGAAAACTCATAAGGAGTAGAAGTTGTGTCTGCATTTCGTTCTGCTATGTTGTGTCTCCAGTTTTTGGGTGTTACCCCTTAGGTTAGTGTTGAAACTAAGCTTGAGTAGGTGTTTAAGAGGATGTCCAGAAGTGTTAAGAATACTATAAGCCATTAATAAATCACCTCTAAGACGCCTATACTCCAATGGGTAAAGGTCTAGTGAATGAAGGCGTTCTTCGTAAGGTTTAGATTTGAGTCCTCAAACTGATTTCATGGCTCGCCGTTGGATGCGCTCCAAAGTGACCTTGTCCTTTTGGAGTGAGGGGGGAAATACTATATTTCCGTACTTTAAATGAGGACGGATAAAACTATTGGAGAATGTATGGAAAGTTCTTCCGTCAAACTGGCCAAAAATGCGCTTCACCGATACTAGTGCAAGGTCTACTCGGAAGGCATTTTTGTCACAGTTAGCGTAAGACTTTAAATCATGGGGCACCAGGACTCCTAAATCTTTTTCGACTTGGGATACTACTAGAGAGGAGTTTCCCAAGTTGTAACTGTAGTTTGCGACATGTCGCAGATGGACTACTTTACACTTTGATGTGTTAAAGGTAAGTCCGTTATCGTCTGCCCAACTTTGAAGTCGAGTCAGATCCTCCTGAAGTGCCTGTGTATCGTCTTTGTTGCGTATCTCTCTCCAAAGTTTCACATCATTGGCAAAAAGTAATAAGTCTGACGTTACCTGTCGAGGAAGATCATTTATGTAGATCAGGAAGAGAAGAGGTCCTAGTACTGAGCCCTGGGGGACCCCACTAGGACATTCCATAGCCTGAGAGAAAGTGAAATAAACCCTGACCTTAAAATGTCGATTTTTCAGGTATGAAGTGAGCCAATCAATTAGAGGTGGTCTGATTTCCAATCGTTTGAGCTTATTGATAAGACATGTATGGTTAACCTTATCAAAAGCTTTTGAGAAATCTAGGTAGATGATATCAACCATTCCCTTGAGATCGAGGATGCTTGTCCATCTATCAACCGCAGTCAGCAGGTTGGTTATACAAGAGTAACCCTCCCTGAAACCGTGCTGTTGGGGTGAGAAGAAATTTAAGGACAGTAAATAGTCGTTTATACCATCACATATCAGGGACTCCATGATTTTTGAGGGTATGGAGAGAAGAGCCACCGGTCGGTAACTTAAAAGTTCGCTGCGTCGACCTCCTTTGAAAATTGATGTGATGTGAGCCAGCTTCCAATTTTTCGGTAGTTTTCCTTGACTTAGCGAGTGTGAGAACATAATGCCAAGCGGCATTGCCAAGATTGAGGCTGCTTCCCTCAGTATAGCGGATGGACCATGTCCGGAACAGAAGAAGTGTCTAATCTTAAGTGCTGCAGTTTCCGGAACACCAAGTCAGCGCTTAGGTTCACTTCGGAAAGTCCTGTGGAATTGCAAACGAAACTGTCATCAGTAAAGTTAATGTTGGTCGGTTAAAATGTCCGGGAGTATTGTTCAGCCAGAAGGTTAGCAGCGTCGCCATCGTTGTTGGTCGGGCCGTTAAGACCTAGAAGTTGGGAAACTCCAGTTTTGGCTTGACGAAGAGAGGCTGCATAACGGAATAAGTTTTTAGGATTAGAGGCAAGTTTGTCCATAAGCTTTGTCTAATAATGAAGCCTATCTTCTCTTATAGCCTTCATGCATATGTTCCTGATATGTTTATATTGCCTGTACGCTCCGTCGTTGTCAGTTCGTTTGTATTCCTCCCAACAGTGCTTTTTGCGGCTTAGCAGGCGAAGGGTACGGTTCTTGATTATTGTAGGTGGCTTGCGGCTTTTGGGAACCGTTTGAGGAACTGAATGGTTTGTATCACGTAAGAGCGTGTGTAGTAAGAAGTCCCAATGCCCGTCCACGTCGAGTTGGGGATGCACATCCCAAACCACCTGTTGTAGATAGTCGTGTAGAGCTGGCACATTCAACCGTTTAAAGTTCCAACGCGAGATATTGGTGGGGTATCTTAGCTTAGTTTTGCTGACAAAACTGAAGGCTATGACAGCATGATCACTTTTTCTCAGGGGAGCCAAATTTTAGAGGTTGTCAACTAGAAATTCTTCGTTTGTGAATACACAGTCTAAGCGCGATGGCGTCTGACTGTTTCTCTAACGAGTTGCCGACCTCACATTTTCGTACAGTCCCAAGTCGTCGATAAGGTTGAAGAACCGATTTTCAATTGAGTTATCGCCTCCACTATAAGTGTGTTCCGCAAAGTTGACTCTAGGGAGATTAAAACCCTCCAGAATCAGGATGTGTGTGAATCCGAGACGAGTAGAGTGGGATAGTCCTTCCAACGTACGCCTATCGTACTCGATGTCGGCAGTTGGCTTCCTGTAAATGACTCCAACTAGACACCTCGAAGTACTGGACAATCTTACAGAGCACCATATTGATTCCCCAAGATTGTTAAACTCGAGGTTATGAACTAGATGCATCTCCAAGCAAGAATGTGTGTAAACAGCTACTCCGCCCCCATATCCTGAATTTCTGTTATTGCGGAACAAAGACATCCCAGGTAATGCTAACTCTTGGTTCGAGAATTAAGAAGATATCCAGGTCTCAGATATTCCTATCAGATGGGCCTTATTAGCATTGCTAAGTCCACGTAGTTCATCCAATTTGTTTGGTAGACTCACGGCGTTCATATATAAGCAGTTTATGCTTTCGACTTGAAACGCGTGAGCTTCTTCCTGTTTGTCTGTATGAGCCTTACATGAATGAACAGGTAGCCCACCTATATGAGGTTTGCCTGGGTGGTAGGCCCTGTCCTTTACACGTTTTTTTGTCGTCTAGACAGTTCACAAGTGGAATGGTCAGCTCAAATTTCCCTTTGTGTTTGGTCCTAACTTCGTATGGCCTATCCGGGTGCATGTGGATTCCAGGTGGCAGTCGACGTTTGTTGGCACGAAGTGCTTCCAGAGTTGCGGCCGCCATGTGTGAAGATGGAAAGGTTATCTTCATTAGACGGGGTCTAGAATCACCATCCTTCTTGGCTAGTCTCGTTACATGCTGTGTCAGTATGTTTGTGAGTCTCAAGGACTGTTTGATGAATTTCCATTCCTTGATGTCAGAGTTTGATTGAGTAGGGTCCGTATTTTCCTGTATACCTTGCACAATTATGTTTCTTCCGCGGAAAAAAACTGATCGCGAGTTTCTTTGAGGATGTTCCGGATGAGATTGCGCTCAGAATACGGTATATCAGGCAGTATTCTTACATTCCCATCTGACTTCAGTAAATGATTCGCTAGTAGGACATCCTCTACGTCAGCAGCATTATTAAGTGTTACACGAAGTAGCCTCGGGTGATTTTGATGCTTAGATTCCTTTCCCCGAGTGAGCCGTGTGACTGTCAAAGGCTCTATTCTTGGAAGTTCAAGTTTCTTGTTCGATTCTCCCCAGAGCATCCTATTACTTTTGCTGTTTCACTACGATTACAGGGTTTTTGTGACATTCAGTTTGGAGCAGTCTAGTCTCTCGAATGTTCCACTGATAGTCAGTATGGCAGTTATATCTGAGTTTATATATCTTGCAGTTTATAAAGTGAGCTTGTCCAAGAACAGTAGGGTTTCTGGTTACCAGTAACTATCACACTACCAGGCAGGTGGAAGGTTCAATCCGAAAAATAACAGGATAAACCTATATGATAACGACAGAAATAGGATGTAGTTACCGATATGAGGTGATGATAATCGTGGTAATCTATGAAACATGCAACCGATACAGCTAGGCGATGTGAGAAATGGTAATTCATAGGTGAGCACGTGTTTTTCAGGTCTCCTCCCTAAGCCATTACTGATGGAGGTATAGTCACTTTGTCTAAAACAGAATTCCAAATGGTGACAGCTGGTAACGAAAAAAATGAGTGTACTTGTATGTTCGCCCTCTGATGTGCAATCTTCCAGTGGTTGTCTCAAGGAGCGTGGTAATGATGTTCTGGTAATGTGTTCTTGTTGGGGTGGTTTTGCGTACTCACATCATCCCTTATTCTCTTGTTTGTGAACGAGAATAATCCCAAGTATTGAAGACTGTCATCGTAAGATTTATGTTTTAGCTCTATCATTTACTTCGTTGTCGGTCTCCGAATTTAGTCTAAGAAATTTTATGACATTTCGGGAGACGTTCTTACTTATACTAAATTTAGCACCTTATGCACATTACGCAAGAGGAATTTTCGACTCACCCCTTAAGGCAGTCAGACATAAAAAAGCCTAAGTTACCTACCTCAATGTTAACCCAAAATATTTCAACGCTCGGTGTATGTCACGTAACTTCAAGGATGACAGCATTTTGTCCTATTTCATAAGTGCTATCGTTAACCCGTAGTTCGTTAAACAACCTTGTATACGTTGACAAATGAATTTCATTTTTGTCCAACACACTAAAACGTTTACTCACCGATCGCTTTCACGTAACATCATAAGATACACGTGAAAGTGCGTAATTCAAAGAAACTACTTCGTGCTCTCGATCAGACTACCAGGGATTTTGTACCACGATTTCAAAAAAATTGACTAGATGTAAGTTTGGGGAGCAGCAACACATCCAACGTCCTTATCGCCTGGTTCCCGGCTGAATGAT